TGACACGTTCGCGTTGCTGTGCCAAGCAACCGTACAGCGGGTGCAACCCATAGCAACAAGTGACGTCACCTAACCGATTCGGGGCTAAATTGATTTGGGCGTTGGCGCCAGATTGCCAGATTTCGCACCTCTTCCTTGTGGGTTTTAAGCAAACGCGCAGTGGAATGGGAGGAACTAGAGTTTATTTTGTCATAAGGTAGTGTGATTATGCATGACACGAAGTATTTGCTAGTCTAGTACTGGAGAAATTAGTGTTTGGATGCGCATATTGCGGCTTTAAGTATCTAGGAATAGATTTGGAAGACTCCATGAGTGGTGAGGTAATGGGAATTAAGGTTGTAAAAAAGGTTAACAATAGATTGAAATTTATTTCCAGAAAAGCTAAGTATTTAAACACGGCATGTAAACGATTACCAGTTTCTGCCCTAATTCAATGTCATTTTGACTATGCAAGCAGTATGTATGGTACAGCAGTCTCACAAAGCGCACAAGGGCTAAGCTGCAAGTGTGTCAAAATAAAGCCATTAGATGTGTTCTCAATCTAGGTACTAGAGCACACATAATCATAGGTGATGTGAGCTGTGTAGGCTATGTGTTTTACTATGAGGAAACACCGGTAGCTAACGATACAAAGAGGGTTTACATTGTGACCATGACCTCGTGAAGTAGGAGGATAAATGAATGACAACAACAAATAGGTGCTAGAGAGTTCAAGGCTGTAAATTGGGTACCTGTAGAGTTCAGGGTAATGCAACTGGAGGTCAATAGGGTTTTTAAAATTTATATAACATAATCTCGGCCCACAGTAATGTATATGACAGGTTTCATGTCAAAAGTCCATAGTTTCAATACAAGGAAAGGTGAGATGTCCATTTTTAAACCGAGAGTGGGAAGCAGTGGGAAAAACTCTTTTACTTATATACTGAAGCTTGGAACTCTCTACCACAGCAAGTTAGGACAAATTCTGTTTATTCTAGAATGTCTGATGGAAAAGGTAGAAACATTAGAGGCAGAGGAGTATGATTTTCGCTAAAAGAATTCGGTTGAAATTAGGCATAAGAAAAGTTTGTATCGGCTTATGAGAATGTACCATTGTATGACCGGTTAAAACTACAAATTTGTATATTTCAATAGTTAGTGCTGATAGTAGTGTAATTGTTAGACTCAAGGCATAGCAAAACAAGGACCACAATGTAAATAAGTGTGCTAGTCATGCTTTTTGTGTATATATCCTTGGTAGTTATCCAATTTTATGAATTCATAATTTTATTGTAAAAGTATGCTATGTAGGGGCCTATTGAGTATTGTATATGAATCATGATGGATAATTGCCTAAATAAATAAATAAAATAAATAAATGAAATTAGTCATCCTGATTCGCAATGGAAGACTATGTGGTGAATCAACACATCAATTATTACTCACTTCGATCGTTGGTCTGCAGTTTTACATCTCAAGAGCACTGCAAATTCACTGCAAATGATTGTGACAAATATAAGAACGTATCGTAGAACGAGTCACTCAGTCAGCTGACGAAATGTTGATGTTTATTGACCCAATTCATTCAGTGACTTCAACTTACATATTTTCCACCAGACGCAGACTATCACAGGGTGACTGCACGCATCTCGCTGCGACTACAAGGCAAATTCACGTTAATCCATGACCCTTGGTGACGTTTACTGTCGGTAAATAAATAAAAACAGCACAACAGACAACATTCACTGACAGCTTGTAATCGTATCGTAGTTATGTTGAAGTCAGCCTAGTTTGGCTGTTCTTGTGTTTCGGGTCATCGCGCGATCACCGACGGTGGCGTCTCTGGTGGTTGAAATGTGAACGTTGTTTGTCAACACAGTAACCGAGTAAGGCTAATAATCAATAACATGCCGCTTACCTGTCCACGTCATAACAGGGCTGATAATAAATTAGTTATGAGGTTAGGAAAAACAATCACAATGGAAATAAAAAAAATAAAAATAAAAATATATATATATAGGCAACAGTATGCTTTATACAGTGAACTGCTTTTTTATTGTGTCAGTGCCAGTGCCCATGGCCCCATGCATCATGCATTCATTGATAATGCATGATTTCATTGATTGATCATGCAATTATATATTTTGTGGAATGAGCCAGGAATGAATATATGTCGATAAAATAGCTGAGAAGTTTTTACTTATTTTTCAGGAACTTGCCGTCACTACACTGTTGAAATTCTTGGAGCGGGAGGGGACGAACCCGCTAGTGCAAGTCGAAGATGTCAAGTACCCCACGTTTCCGACTAAATTGTTTGCGGTAAGTATGCCGGGATAACACACGCAGTCAAACCTGCTTATAAATGTTCCTTGGAAGAAACACCTAAAGTGTCCATCTGTTACTGTAGCAAAACCACGCCAACCAATCACGCTGCATGTCACATGCACACTCAACGATCCACACCAACCAATCACTCTGCGTGACGTGCGTGTCACATGCACACGTGATGATCCACGCCAACCAATCACGCTGCATGTCACATGCACACTCAACGATCCACACCAACCAATTGCGCCCCGTGTCACATGTACACGTGACGATCCACGCCAACCAATCACGTCGCCTTTTAAGCGCTGCGTGGATGTGTTTACCGTTGCCGTAGGCGATCATGGATCACGCGCTGTCATCTGAGGCCGATTCGGGGCGTCTCATCCTACGTCTCACGGAGAGTCTGGAGTTTGCGGACATGAGGCTGCATTGTCTCAGACAGGTCAGCGACAGCATCTTGAAAAAACGTGATCAGGTAAGAAATTAACAATGTTATAGGTGGGTGTAGTTGCGAAGACGTCTAGAATGTATACTAGAGAATGTGCACGTGTTCTTGTTACCGTGTGTCGAATTAGGTGGTTATATTCTACGTGTGTGGCACTTTGGGAGCCTGGGAGGGCAATCCTTAGAAGGTGTAAGTTTTGTTAGGTTCAATATATTGTCTATAACAGTCCTTTGTTACGACAGTGACAGGTTCACGGTTTATTGACTTCAACGCAAATGCCCCGAGAGAGCGAATGACCGCTATCGGGATGCATATGCAACTGTGGTCACATAACCATGTATACACAAAGCATGCCGGACAATCTACAGAAGCTAATAAAGTTAATTTAAGTGAATAACTTAATTTGGATTAAACTGAGATAAACTTTATTAGCATGTGAACTATAGAGATCCGATGAAATTATTCAATAATCTGCAGAAGGTCATCATGCATTCACAATGTAAATTATCAACAGCTAAACACTGTCTGACTATAACAACGTGGCG